TATCCCTTAGCCTGGTCAACTTCACACATAAAATTAACCATCACACATATGAATCACCTAGGGGGATTTTGTTAAAATGCAGGTTCTGGTTTGGTAGATGCTATTATTATTATTTTTTAGGTGCTATTATTTTTGTTCATTTTCTCTCTTTAGTAAAATTATACCAAGTAGGTGGCTACTTGCAGGGTCAGTTCTTTTGTTAAATATGGAAATAACATATTTTATGGTGTCCTGACTTCACGCATGATTAAAAGTTTAGGACTTAACAGAAATGCTAACTAAAGGTTGAAATGAAAGGACATTAAATCAGGTTGAACAATTTACACTTGCCACATGCTATTTACTTTTAGGTTTGTGGTTTAACATTTCACTAAGAATATGGTAAAATGTTCTAGCCAGAATTCAAGTCCAAAGAGGATAATGTAAGCCATACTAGGTGGATAATTTAAAACATACTGTACCATACTCTCTTGCCTGACTGGATCTTCAAGCATGAATTATTCAAGCCATTTCCTTGTTCTAAAAATCATGAGGAACTACCACCCCTTCACATCCAGTTCCCTATAAAACAGACTCCATGCTCGGACTTTATCTTTCCAGTCTTTTCTCTCACATCTCCCATTTTTGGTCAAACGGGATAACCCACTGTCCCCTGAATCAATATTATGGTGTCCCACCTTTCTCTGCTCATGGTGCTCAGCCTGGACCACACTCCCCCATCCTCCCAGTTAACACTCAACCCAAGCTTTAAGGTGGAGCTCAATTGGCACCTTCTTCATGGAGCCTTCCCCACTTCTCTTTCATTTCTAACTCTCATGCCACTCTGCTTGCATCTCTCTTGAGGTGCTTATACGCCATTGCATGTTCTGGTTACTAATATACTTGCTTTATTTCTGTGATTAGATTTTAAGTGACTTCAAGTGTGACAGCATAGCCTTTTCACCTTTGTGGTCTTCACAGGCATAAAATACCTTACCTGCAGCTCACAGATAATTATTGAATGAATATGTATTTTAGTGTGACTAAAAGGGGCTCCAGAGAACTTGGGCTGACTTATCATTTCCTCAATCCTCAGGCCCTCAGACCCAAAAGGAGCTCCAGAGTAACCCTTTGCCACCTCTTAATTTGCAATGACCATACTAGCATGGTCAAAACCTCCTAAGTTTGAGCTTAGATTCATCTTTGATTTTCTCTTTTGTTCCTATGTCCAATCACTCATAAAACTGTTGATCTGTCTTCTGATTTGACCCTTCCTTTCCTTTTTCTCTACAGTCTCTTCCACCATTCTGGTTAATGTCCTTTTATTTTCACAACAAATACTATAAATTCTTCCTGGTTTACCTAATACTGTTCCTGCTCTAGTTTATCCTATGCATAATGGGGACCATAATAATAATTTCACAGAGCTACAAATTGATAAATGAGATATAGCATGCATATTGGACCTACTTTGTACAAGTGCCCACTATATCTTTGGAGAATCATCTCCTGCCCGTGTCCTCTGGTTCTGGTAGTGAAAAATGACCACACCTCATTAGAGTATCATGTCTTTCTGGCCACAGCTATTAGTTCGGGATGGCTGAGAGACTGCAAGAAACTATGTCCTGATGACGTAATCTGAATCTCTTGACTTGACCTTACCTAAAACCAGATGCACCCCTGGACCTTCTGGTTATGAGAATCAACAGATTTCCTTTATTAATTAAACTAGTTTGTTTTCTAAGTGCAACAAAGATTTTTAATAAATATGGTAGGTAAAGCACTGAGCACAGTACCTTGTAAATAAGTATTAGGTATTATTTTTATTATCCCTATACCCTTGCCATATCCAATTCAACTTTTTCTTTCTTAACAACTTCCCATACAGACCAGCTAGGGTAATTTCCTTATTATTCCCTGCATGTTTTCCCTTTGCCTGGGCTGCCCTGTCACCAACCTAATAATGTCATTCCACACTCTTTTCGCCAATTCACATCCATCACTATTTAGAACCAGGCTAAAAGAAGTCTCCTATCCTCCATTTGAATAGCGGTGGCTCTACACTGTTTACTGCCTTATCTGATTTCTCCTACATGTATTTTCTAGTTATTTCTAGCTTGCTTCTTGATTGTACACTACTCAAGGCAAAGAAAAATATATTCTACATTTACATATGATCACTGTGCCCTACGTTGAGATTTTGTCATTATTTTCCAAAGCAACTTGAACAGTGTTGGACACACAGATGTTCGATAAATGTGTTACAGGAATAAATGAATGCAATTAAATTTAGAGGGTGTGGTATTCGATTTAAAGCCTGTTGTTAGCATAAATTTCTTCCTTTTTCTAAGTAAACTATATTCTTACAGCATTTTCATTACAGCATAAAAATATCACAATGATTTCAAACTCCCATATTCTTCCTATGTATGGTTTAGAATTCTTTTATCCAAAGTCTAAGGAAGGAATATTCTACTAAAAATAATTCAACAGGGCTTCCCTGGTGGCTCAGTGGTTGAGAGTCTGCCTGCCGATGCAGGGGACATGGGTTCGTGCCCCGGGGTCCGGGAAGATCCCACATGCCGCCGAGCGGCTGGGCCCGTGAGCCATGGCTGCTGAGCCTGCATGTCCGGAGCCTGTGCTCTGCAACAGGAGAGACCACAGCAGTGAGAGGCCTGCGTACAGCAGGGAAAAAAAAAAAAATTCAACAATTACTCGAAGTCTATTTCCTTTTCATTACACATATTTTTATTAATCCAGTGGGTATTGCATCTGACCCTTCAGAGGTTTCTTGCTTTGGTAAACTAATGATAACAGTAAATTGTTGACAAAGATATCCTGAGATGCTGAAAAAAAAATTGAGGGGGAAACTTTTTGTACTCATGTTTCCTTTTCTGGGTTTAAGTAGTAAAATAGTCTCCTACTCCAAATTAAGTTAGTGTCTACTTAGAAATGGAGGATTTTAAAAACTACTATTGGGAATCAAAGGTCTGTGCCTCTGTCTGTTGAACTGAATTGCTGTATGGTTTAATGGAAAGGCCAAGGGCTGGTGAATTTAAACTATTTAAAATAGCTAAAGATTAAAGAGAATTAAATTTAGTGCCTCTGGGATTTTTGATACATGTTCCAAATTTGTTTTTTAAAAAATAAATACATTTATTTACTTTTGGCTGCGTTGGGTCTTCGTTGCTGTGCACGGGCCTTCCCTAGTTGCGGCGCATGGGCCTTCCCTAGTTGCGACGAGCTGGGGCTACTCTGTTGTGGTGCATGAGCTTCTCGTTGCGGTGGCTTCTCTTGTGGCAGAGCACGGGCTCTAGGCGCACAGGCTTCAGCAGTTGTAGCACGTGGGCTCAGTAGTTGTGGCTCGTGGGCTCTGGAGCGCATGCTCAGTAGTTGTGGTGCACGAGCTTAGCTGCTCCGCGGCATGTGGGATCTTCCTGGACCAGGGCTTGAACGTGTGTCCCCTGCATTGGTAGGCAGATTCTCAACCACTGCACCACCAGGGAAGCCCTCAAATTTGTTTTTAATGACATAATTGTCCCATGTTACATTTAAGATTACATCATAGTGAACTGGCTATGTGTGCAGTTATACAAACAGAAACCAATTCCAAATATCAAAAATAGAAGCGAGGACAACTGTAAAGTTACCATTAAGAAAGTGGAAGTTGAAAATGGAAGAAAAACATTTAGGCTGAATAAGGTCTTCTATGAAAGCTCTGAATAGAAAAACCTGGAAATCATATGTATCAGGTTAACAATGCATTTTCAACAGCATTTAAATAATTATTTTACTTACTGTTACAAATGGAAACCAATACCTTTCCTCAAAGTATTTATTCTTTAACTTTAGTGGAAAAAGCTCCCAATCACACAAATGGGAATTGTACTAAATAAATTTTGAGAACATCCCTCAAGAAATAAGTTACTAGTTATATGTAGAAATGGTTATATTTCACATTTTAAAGAACAAGAACTGAAATTCAGTGTTCTTGTTTCTGTTAGTCTTCCTTTTTTTTTTTTCTTTAACTAAAAGTAATTGTAATATTCTCTTGCCTCTGGGGCTTTCCCTTCCACAATTAATCATCTTTTCTTCTACACCTTCCCTCCAAATGATTACTCTCCCTAGCCTTTTGACGTTAATTCATACTATTTCACCTTCACAGCTTTCAAAACAATGCCCTGTCCTTGCTTAGCTTCACAAGCCAGTCCTTTTCTCTTAAAAAAAAAATTGGTTAATGAAGTATTTTTGCTATCATTTTGCCAGAAGGTGCTACCATGTAATCAGGAAAACATCTTTGTCATACAAATTAGCTTCCTTACTTTTATCAAACTTTCAAATCCAAAACACAATATGTTTAAATTCCTTAGGATAATGAACATCTATACTTCAAAAGTAGCAGTTCGTTAAGTTTAAGCATTTGGAAGACTTGGATCCTAAGCCTTTATCCTTCATCCTCTGACTCTACAATCTCTGTCATTAATGATCAGAACCAAGCAAGAAATTGTGAGTCTTACCAAGCTACACCACCAGCGCGGGGAGAGGAAACGCTTTCAAAACATGTCATTCATGTTCACATTTAAAGGCAGTCTATCCATACATCCTTTATAAACATCGTTAAATACTGGTGCTTAAGACTTCAGTCATATGAGGTAAGCTTTCCAATTTATAGGCAAAAGAGGGGTGACAAAGGAGCCCTTTTCTCTTCTTAAATTTATTTACCAAAGCAAAAGCCAGGCTGATTATATCTGAAAGTCTGAAGTTGCCATTTGTCAAACATCTATTATAAAGCGGCTTTTGCATTAAATTAACCAACTCCTAGCCAAATAAGGTTTAAGGAGACAGTGTTTCCCATGTCTATGGTGACAAGCGAGTTACCAGACGTCCTTAAGTAGACCGTCAAACTTTTATGTTTACTCTTTTATGTTTACTCTTTTTAAACACAGAAGGGAGAGGATGGCACACAACGAAAAGTCAAGTCTGTTTCTTAAGAAAGATGTCTCGTGGGGAATGAGGCTCACCTTTACACAACAGAGGCAGGTCTTCCCCGGCTGTCCTCACTGGGGAAGAGTATGGACATCGATAGACCTTTGTCCTCCGGACTGGAGCACGGGGGGAAGGGGGCGACTTTCTGGGAGTACTGCAGGCACCTGCACCCCAAGAAACTACAGAACGGTTTTGTCTTCAATGACTGCTCTTGACTTAGCCTTTGGAGGGACCTTCTAGCTCAGGGAGGGGGGTTGTTGCTCCAAACCTTAGCCACCTCCCCCGCAGGGCTGGGGGAGGGGATAAATAACCACTCTAAGGAGTTATGGACCCCGTCTTTCCCAGCTGGACCATAACGCCCCCCAGCTCTCTAGTCGGACTCTCCCCGTGGCGAGGCAGGTCGGCGTGAGCCGGGGCCGCGGCGAGCGCAGATCCCGCCTTTGCTCCGCGCCCCTGCCGTGTCCGCACCGCCACCGTGAGGCCGAGCAGGGGACGGTGCCCTGTGGCGGCAGCGGCTCCGCGCTCCTCTCCGCGCCGCCCCGGCCGCCGCCGCGCCGGGCACGGGCGGGGGGATTTTTTTCTTGTTTCCCCTCTCTTTCGCGCTCTCGCTCCTGTTCAGCGGGAGAGCCCGCGGAGCCAGAGAGGGAGCGAGGGAAGGGGTGGAGGTGGCGGGGGGAGGGGGGGAGGCCGGAGGGGCGGATCCTGCCTGGGGGCTGATCCCTCCCTCCCCTCGGCCGGGCTCCGTGGCGGCAGCGGCGGCGGCGGCGGCGGTTCCATTCCCCCTCCTCCCCCGGGAGCGGCGGCGGCCGGGCCGGGGCCCCAGCGCGGGCCGGGAGGGGGCACGGCGGTGGCCACGGAGGTCAGCGCGGGAGGAGGCCACGCTCCGCTCCCCGGGCCGCGCCGACCTGCTTGGCGGCCGGCCCGCCCGCGCCCAGGAGCCCCGAACGGTGGGGACGGGCCGGCTGCTGAGGTAATGGGGGCGGCAGCGGGGCCGGACGGAACGGGGGCGGGAGCAGCGGGGCCTACGGGGACCAGGGACTGCACGGGATGGGGGAGGGAAGCGAGGGGCTTCCCGAGCGGGGCGGGGGCGGCGCGAAAGCTCTTTCCTGGAGCCAGGGTGGCAGCGGAGAAGGAAAAGGCGGGTGAGGGGGGGAGCTGAAAAGCGAGGACCCCCTCCCGCAGCCGCCATCTTGTTTCCCCCCCTGGCCCTGGAAGCCGAGCCGCCGAGCCCCGCCCCCGCCACGCTCTCCAATTGGTCAGGTCAGAGGAGAGTTCCACCCCCTGAGCGTCCCTTGGCCCCCGGTTCCTCCAGACGGGCAGGTGAGGCGGCCAATGGGCGCTTGCCTCTGTGACCCGCTTGTTCGCAGGCGCTAGCTTTCTCTGTCTGAGGGTCGGACTCCGCGTCTGTCTCAGGCACGCTCGCTCCCTCCCCTCTGGTGAGGAGATGTTATTTCCCTCCTTTCCTCTCCGAAGGGTCAGGATTCTTCTGGAAGAGGTGCCCCTTTAAAGGGGCGGGAGTCTTGGCTGGGGTCCTTATTTGTCTCATGAGTATCTCGTGTGGGGTGCAGGGGAAACAGTTTAATTGCAGAAACTCCTTATTCTTCGCGGACCTGGGTGGGGTGGGCGAGTGGGGGCTCAGGGGATGCCGGGTAGACCTCTGGGGGTGTTGGAGTTATTTGGAGCTGTGTATGTGGGAAGGGCTGTGTGGGATGAGAAACTCCCGCCAAAAAACTAGACTGTAAGCTCCTTGAGGGCGAAACTCATTTCGTTTTTCCTCAGCAGCAGCCCTTCCCCCTCTGGAGTTGGCCCCCCAGTGTCTAGAGGCTTGGGTAGGACAACAGAGGCCTCTGTAGATACTTGCTGCTTGATTGAGAGATACTCTAGGAGGTAGTGGGTAGGGAGGAGGAATATATCGTGGCTTTGACAAAGGAGGAGCTACATCCCCTTTCTGAAGCATTTCAAGTTACTATTGAGATAGATTTTCACACCTCTGCAAGGGTCTGCATGCCCTTGACAGGGTGGGGATAATAAAGCAGGTCTGTTGGCCCGGGCCGCCCCCAGGGAGTTGGCATTTGTCAGGCATGTAGTGGCCAAGGGTCTCTGGAACCTGGACAGAATTTCTGCAAATGATTCTCTTTCCTTCGGTTCCAAATAGGGTTTGTGCCTGCCTGGCACTGTGCCTCAGCCAAGTTGTTTTTTGTTTGTTTCTTTCAGTCAGACTTTGGGATTGGAAGGCTTTTAAAATAAGGATGTTAAGAATACCTTACTACCAAATAGCAACCCTTAAGAAATAAATTTTATTAATTTCATTTTACTGATGGAGTGTGCGGGCACAGAACGTTTCAGTGACTTTCTCTGGGTCACACAGGGCCAAGATTAGTACCTGGATTGCCTCAGAGCCTCTTTTTGTACCAGACCGTGGCATCTCTGTGGTGTTCTTATGTCCTAGTGAGATGGCTTGAGCAGATCAGAAGATCTGGGTTTGAATTGTAGCTCTGTCACTTACCAGCTTTAGGGGGAGTGACACCTTTCTGAGCTTCTGTGTCTTCATCTGTAAAATGGAGATGAGGATATCTATTCTCCCTTCCAAGGTAGTTGTGAAAAATATTAAAAGTAAAAGGGCTTTGTAGTTTGTGAAAGTGTGCTACATTATCATCACCATCTCCACTTTATAAAGATGGTAGATCCTGCAAGCAAGGTGACAAATTCTGTTTTTCTCCTTGAAATCGTCTCCCTGTTCATACCCTTCCAAGCCTCTGCCCGCACCTCAGGGCACCATATCCCCAGAGGTCTTTCTTAGTATTGATGGCCTCAGTAACTGTGACCACAGCTCCTTGTGAGCTTGTCATAATTCCCTCCATCCCAGTGAACAATGGGAAAAATTTAGAGCTTTCTCTTTGTTGCACAAGGGTGGACTGGATGTATTTTGGGAGAGAGGGGCTTTTGAAGTAACAGATGCATTGAGAGTTTACCCCAGATATTGCCCCAGTTACCTTGGCCTTAGGTCCAGTGAGGGTACCAAATAGGCCACTTGGGGCCACACCCAGAGCTTCCAGGGTTTCTGCTTAGAGATGTACTAGCCAATGCATCCTGAATGCTGCCTTTTGCAGAGAATACCCTGCACATTGTAGTTTGAAGTCCTTAGACCACATGCGATAGACATTTCACGTGCCTTACCCCTTCACCCCTGGGCATGGTCCGGGATAGTGTTTCTGATCATGGATCATGGTAAGATGGGTTGGGAGAGGGCTCTAGACCTGTGGATTTTTGATCCCCCATGGGGCCACAGGTCATGTGTAGAGCTTGTAAGTGGATGCTGTTCTTGTTTACTCCTTTCCTAAGCCTTAACCACCACCCCCTTTTCCATAGTTAGCTGTCCCACAGCCTTAAATACCCCATTAGAACATTAGCTCTCTCCCCATGTTGCATTGATCTGTAGTGATCTGTTGTGTTTACTTTTCTGTCCCTTCAATCAGACAGCGCTCCTTGAGGGCAGGGATCATGAGTGTTTGATTTCTCATTTCATTCAGCTAACACTTATAGAATGCTTACTTAGGAGTCAGGCACCATTCCAGGTGCTGGAGATACAGCAGTGAACAAGACAGGCAAAAATCCCTCCCTTCATGGGCCTTACATTCTAGAGGAAGGAAACAAATATACATGATAAATATATAAATTACATAGCACAGTAAAAATTGGTGAGTGTTATAGCGAAATATAAAGCAGGATGAAAGATTGCTGGTGGGGGAAAGGGATTTGCAATTTTGGATAGAATGGTCATAGGTCTCACTGAGAAACACTGTTTATGGAAAGACTTGGAGGAGGTGAAAGAGCAAGCCATGTGGATACCTGAGGGGCAGGATGTTCAGACAGAGGGAATAGCCAGTTTGCTCAGTGGCCACTTGATCAGATGGAAGGGTAAATGAATGCATGCATGCCTGAACGTCTGGCTCACAGTCTCCTGGCCTCCTCTTTAGGCCTGTCTCGTTGGTTCCCGGGTGCCATGAGGAAGCCTCGCCGGAAGTCACGGCAGAATGCCGAGGGCCGGCGCTCCCCATCCCCCTATAGTCTGAAGTGCTCACCCACTCGGGAGACCCTGACATATGCCCAGGCCCAACGGATCGTCGAGGTGGACATTGATGGACGTCTGCATCGTATTAGCATCTATGACCCGCTCAAGATCATCACAGAGGATGAGTTGACTGCCCAGGATATCACCGAATGCAATAGTAACAAGGAAAACAGTGAGCAGCCTCAGTTCCCTGTCAAGTCCAAAAAACCCTCATCCAAGGGCAAGAAGAAGGAGTCCTGCTCCAAGCATGCATCCGGCACTTCCTTCCACCTCCCACAACCCAGCTTCCGCATGGTGGACTCAGGCAGTCAACCAGAAGCACCCCCGCTGCCTGCTGCCTACTACCGCTACATTGAGAAGCCACCTGAAGACCTGGATGCAGAAGTAGAATACGACATGGATGAGGAGGACCTTGCCTGGCTGGACATGGTAAATGAGAAGCGGCGAGTAGATGGGCACAGTTTGGTGTCGGCAGATACCTTTGAGCTGCTGGTGGATCGGCTTGAGAAGGAGTCATACTTGGAGAGTCGAAGCAGTGGGGCCCAACAGTCACTCATTGATGAAGATGCTTTCTGCTGTGTATGCCTGGATGACGAATGCCACAACAGCAACGTCATTCTCTTCTGTGACATCTGCAACCTGGCTGTACACCAGGAGTGCTATGGCGTCCCTTACATCCCCGAGGGCCAGTGGCTATGCCGCTGCTGTCTACAGTCTCCCTCCCGGCCTGTGGATTGCGTCCTCTGCCCCAACAAGGGTGGCGCCTTCAAACAGACCAGTGATGGGCACTGGGCCCACGTGGTGTGTGCCATCTGGATCCCTGAAGTCTGCTTTGCTAACACCGTGTTCCTGGAGCCTATTGAGGGCATCGACAACATCCCACCTGCCCGCTGGAAACTAACCTGCTATATCTGCAAGCAGAAGGGGCTGGGTGCAGCCATCCAGTGCCATAAGGTGAACTGCTACACGGCCTTCCATGTGACGTGTGCACAGCGGGCTGGGCTCTTCATGAAGATTGAGCCTATGCGTGAGACCAGCCTCAATGGCACCATCTTCACAGTGCGCAAGACCGCCTACTGTGAAGCCCACTCGCCGCCAGGTGCCGCCACTGCTAGGAGGAAGGGCGACTCCCCAGGAAGTCTCAGTGAGGCTGGGGACGAAGAAGGGCTGAAGGAAGGCTGTGGGGAGGAAGAAGAGAAGGAAGAGGTAGAAGAGGAGGAGGAAGATGAAGGCCAAGGTGGGGTAGGTGGCCCCCTCAAGGGAGTGTCCAAGAAGAACAAGATGACTTTGAAGCAAAGGATCAAGAAGGAGCCAGAGGAAGTGGGCCGAGACACACCCTCCACTGTCCCCATGGTCACTGTCCCACAGATACCCTCTTACAGGTGAGCCTGCCCAGGAGGGCTCCCTAGGGACTCATGATTTCTTCTCGGGCTGGTGTTGGCCCTGAGCCAGGCTTCTGAGCCAGGCTTCTTTCCCCAAGGTTGGTGAATACCTCTTCTCTTCTGTGCTCTCAAATTTAGACTTCTCCTTTAGACCCTGGGCTCACCTGGACTGGTTTGTGGTTTTGATTGTGCCCTTCAAAGCAATGTATTTCCTTTGATTCAAGGTGAG